AGCTCCAAATCACAAATTCTTTGCATTTGAGCCAAGAGACTTGCCATTTCCATGGCCGGCTCCAAAATGTCGCTTTTGGAGCTCCAAATAGGAACTTCTCTACATTTGAGCCAAAATGTGTCCTGAATCCTAAACCTAAAAACTATAAACTTAAATCCTAAACCTAAAATCCTAAGCCTAAATCCGAAACCTAAACCCTAAACCTAAACTCGTATATCTAAAAACCCTAAGCCTAAATCCTAAACCTAAACCGAACCCATCCTGAACTCTGAAACTTACATCTAAACTGTGGCTCTCAAAGGTACTCCCACAGCAGGGAACCCTAAAGACCTCCAGCAGGAACCCTAAACTGCGCCCCGCCAGCAGGAAAACCCGAAAAGACATCCCCAGCAGGAACCCTAAAAAGGAATCCCGCCGTTAGGACAGAAAAATGCCAACTCCTAAAACCCTTAAAACCTAAAAAACTTAAGTTTCCTAAATCTCGAGATTATCCTGAAATCACATTTGGCATCAGACGAGCGACTAGACGGGCACTAGACGAGCGCTAGACGGGCACTAGACGAGCGCTAGACGGGCACTAGACGAGCACTAGACGGGCACTAGACAAGCACTAGACGGGCACTAGACGAGCACTAGACGGGCACTAGACGGGCACTAGACGAGCACTAGACGGGCGCTATAGACCAGCGCCAGACGGGCACTAGACGAGCAGACGGGCGCTAGACGAGCACTAGACGGGCACTAGACGGGCACTAGACGAGCACAGACGAGCATTGGACGGGCGCCAGACGAGCGCCAGAGGAGCACTAGACGAGCACTAGACGAGCGCTGGACGAGCACTGGACGAGCGCCAGAAGGCTCTATAGGGAGGGCACAACCCCGGAAATTTCCGGAAAATTTCCGGGATAGAAGAGCACTAGACGAGCACTAGACGGGCACTAGACGAGCACTAGATGGAGCACTAGACGAGCACGAGACGAGCACTAGACGGGGACGAGCACTAGACGAGCACTAGACGAGCACTAGACGGGCACTAGACGAGCACTAGACGAGCACTGGACGAGCACTGGACGGGCACTAGACGAGCACTAGGCGAGCACTAGACGAGCACTAGACGAGCACTAGACGGGCACTAGACGGGCACTAGACGAGAACGAGACACTAAACAAAGCATTGGACGAGCACTAGACGAGCACTAGACGGGCACTAGACGAGCACTAGACGGACGGGCACTAGACGAGCACTAGGGCACTAGACGAGCGCTAGACGGGCACCAGACGAGCACTAGACGGGCACTAGACGAGCACTAGACGAGCACTAGACGAGCACTAGACGGGCTAGACGAGCACTAGACGAGCACTAGACGAGCACTAGACGGGCACTAGACAAGCACTAGACGAGCACTAGACGGGCACTAGACGAGGCACTAGACGAGCACTAGACGAGCACTAGACGGGCACTAGAGCGCTAGACGGGCACTAGACGAGCACTAGACGGGCACTAGACGAGCGCTAGACGGGCACAGACGAGCGCCAGACGGGCGCTAGACGAGCACTAGACGGGAACTAGACGAGCGCTGGACGAGCGCTAGACGAGAACTAGACACTAGACAGAGCACTAGACAAGCACTAGACGAGCACTAGACGGGCACTAGACGAGCACTAGACGGGCAGACGGGCACTAGGCGAGCACTAGACGAGCACTAGACGAACACTAGACGGGCGCTAGACGAGCACTAGACGAGCAGTAACGAGCACTAGACGGGGACGAGCATTAGACGAGCACTAGACGAGCACTAGACGAGCACTGGATGGGCACTGGACGAGCACTAGACGGGCAGACGAGACGAGCACTAGACGGGCACTAGACGAGCACTAGACGGGCACTAGACGAGCGCTAGACGGGCGCTCGAGACGAGCACCAGACGAGCACTAGACAAGCACTAGACAAGAGGCTCTAGGGAGGGCACAACGCCGGAAATTTCCGGAAAATTTCCGGGGATAGAAGAGAGACGGGCGCTGGACGGCGCACTGGACGAGCACTAGATGGAGCACTAGACGAGCGCTAGACGAGCGCTAGACGAGCACCAGACGAGCACTAGACAAGCACTAGTGCTTGTCTAGTGCTCGTCTAGTGCTCGTTTAGTGCCCGTCAATTTCCAGGCCAGGCCCAAAATGTTCTTTTTGGAGCTCCAAATGGCGAACTCTCTCCGTTTCAGCAAAAATGTGTAATTTTTGTATAAACTCTAGTAAAGAACGGTCATTTCCAGGGCCAGCTCCAAAATGTCGCTTTTGGAGCTCCAAATCACAAATTCTTTGCATTTGAGCCAAGAGACTTGCCATTTCCATGGCCGGCTCCAAAATGTCGCTGTTGGAGTTCCAAATGGGAACTTCTCTACATTTGAGCCAAAATGTGTCCTGAATCCTAAACCTAAAAACTATAAACCTAAATCCTAAACCTAAAATCCTAAGCCGAAATCCGAAACCTAAACCCTAAACCTAAACTCCTATATCTAAAAACCCTAAGCCTAAATCCTAAACCTAAACCGAACCTAAATCCTGAACCTAAATCCTAGACTAAATCTGTGGTTTCTCAAAGGCACTCTACAGCAGGGAACCACAAAGACTCACAGCAGGAACAGAACGCAAAAGTTTCAAAGGTCGATCCCACGCTGGTTGACCCATACCTGTTTAAGGAAATTTAAAAGGAAATCCTACAGCAGGAATACCACAGTGCTAACCTTAAATCTCATCCTAAATTAAAAAAATTTTAAAGTTTAAACCTTAGACCTTTAAAAACGAATTTAAATTCGAAATTTAAATTCAAAACTAAACCGAAATTTGAAAAATCTTAGTTTAATTTAAAATTTAAATTTTAAATCTTAAAATTTAAAATTATAAATTAAACTTAGACTCTAAAACCTTGAAATTCTAAACCCTAAACCCTAAACCTAACAATCCTAAACCTAAAAAACCGTAAACCTATAAACCGTAAACCTAAAAATCCTAAACTTAAATCCTAAACCTAAAACCTTAAACCTAAAAACCCTGAGCCTAAATCCTAAACAAAATTCCTAAACCTAAGTCTTCAACCTAAATCCTAGACCTCAAAACCCTAAACCCTAAACCTAAATCCCAGACCTAACTCCGTGACCCCCCAAAAGAGGAAAAGCAACCTGAGAACGTCAAAAGCAGGAAAAGCAACCAACAAGGTCTGGAAGCCCATGGTAAAGTGGTTGAAACTAGATGGATTCCTCTCTTCTGTCAGTTTGCTTCGATCTGCATCTATTTGTTCAAAGGGACAACCAGGTTGCGGGCCCTTGGCCTATTCCAAGCGAAGTGGGTTCCAGGGTTGCGAAGGTCGGACGCCTCTCTCCCATGGAAGCAGAAGGTCTCAGATGGTTTTCCTAGTCAACTTCCATATGGGTAGGCGATTTGGCTGGGTTTCCTTTCAAAAACATACCACCTTGTGGGTTGTTATGCATCCTCCCATCCGGATTGAGTCTGTTAAAAGGAAGGAACTGTCTGGGAACTGCCTGGGGTCCCACCCATACAGCTGAATCAGGTTACCTGGTGGTGTGGATTTGGATTTGAACCCATGGTTCTTGTGGGTACATGGGAAACTGCCCTTCCAAACCACCAACTGGAGGGAAGCTGACGGAAGGGAGAGTACGAGCCCGACTTAGTATTCTGCACTACTGATTTGAGAGCCTGCGGTCAAGCGAGCTTGATGATACATGCCTAATGCCCAGAGGCTCCAGACCATCTTTGAGACGAAAGCCCTAGTCGAGATCTCAAAAACCATAGTGTCCGACTGAAAACCTCAGGGGGGGGACATAATCAGGACACAGCCCCATTAAGGTTTAAATTAACATAGAAGAGAGTGTTTAGGAATTCCTTACTTCAGCTTGGCGCAATCTTAGAATCCAAACCTTTGGTGCTCCTGTCTTCGTTGGCTTTTTGCTTTTCGAGGGATTTCCCTTCACAGGCGACTTTGAATTGGCTTGGATTTGTGGGTTTGGGGAGTTGAACCCCTGCGTGTTGGAAGGGGCAAATGGGAAACCACCCCCAAACACCAAACTACCAATCCAAACCACCAACTGGAGGAAAGCTGATTCAGTCATCTACCAAGATACGGGTGCCCTTTTTCCCCCGTGCCTGGGGGCAGTTTAGTACTTCTTGAAGTTTTTGCAGGATTCCCAAGCGGGAGCCCAGGCAAGGGCAAACCACTCACGTATGAGACCGGATTGACATCTTGTGCAAACTTTTGGGCGCTGACTCTCAAACAGATCCTCCCAATGTTTGCGGGGTTTCCCTTCGAAACATCAACCCATCAAGCAACAGGAGATACATCATACATGGTCGATTTCCGGACGCGTTGCCCGTTTTCTGGCAAAGCAAAAGTCAAACGTTTAGGCCCGTTCGACAAGTTTGTTGCAGAAGCCCTGGCGATTTTGTTTCCTGATCATTTGTTCAACACCCTTTGGGCTTGCGTTCAGCAAGTTTCCCGCGGGAATCAGGTTTGAACGGGGCATGGGAGCATCAATCTATTTCAGTTCAAAGTTGATGTCCATGGGCAGTTCCCGGCCAAAAGTTGACAGCCTGTGATTGTTTGTTGTTTGATGACTGGGGCAACCGTGTGTTTTTCTCCGGGGGGCCTTGGATGTTGATGTTCAACCCACTTAGTAAGTAGCTTACGTAACTTGTGTTTGGGTGAATCCATGTGGGTCCCTTTAAAGTAGCATTGGCTGGCAGTCGGTGGGAAAAACTGGTCTTGAATCAGGGGGTTTAGAACTATGACTGGGTCAACTTGGATTAGTTCCCTGTACACTCAGTTGCCCAAAGCCGACCATTGGTTTCCTTGTTTTTGTCCAAAGCTTTAGTCGGCCCCAGAAGGAGAACATGTTTTATTTCGGCAAGCCAGTATAGCATTATGGTTACCACCGTGGATTAATCTCACATCCCTTCGAGTCGTGAGATTGGGGCCCTGCCCGCCATCCAGGAGATGATTGCGGTGTCGCAGCATGCAGTGGGCTCTTCAGAGCGAGTGGGCGCCCATAGCGTCTTGCCAGCAACCAAGTGGATGGGTAGTGCGGTAAATTGATGTTTCTATTCTTGAGTCGGTTCCCCTGTTTGCTAGGTTTTGAAGGGAAACCAAAAGGACAACCAAAGTCCATTTTCGGGGAAATCCGACTAAGAAAGACACAAATGCCCAAATGCCCAAATGGGTGTGTCGTTTTTGGAGCACATAAGGGCCGTGTTTCCTTGTTTCCAAAAGGACAAATCACCTTTTTGGGGCTCCCCTAACTTGATACACACCCAAATCATGTCCCGACTAAACGTTTAGCTTTTACTAACTTCCATTTGCTTCAGAATAGCCATTATTTTCCCCTGTCGGTTTTAAAGGGAATCGATTTCACTACAGGACATATTTTTAATTAGGTTTGTTCCTGGGGCTTTAAGCAAATGGAAGGCAAGGGATCAAACCTACGAGCTTCTTGGCAACCTGAGAACACCTTTCGCGGTGTGCCCAATTAAGTTCTCACCACTTCACCGGCGTTGAGGGCTTCAAAGCGCGCCCACGCGCTCGCGCTAGAGGCTTTCCGGAGGTGAGCGTCACGGACAAGTTGTCCCAGACGGCTTTGGGTCTGATCTTGACCATGGTGATGCCGGTGCCGGGCACCTCGGGCCCAACGAATCCATTGGGGTTTCCGAGCTCGAAAAGCCCGCGGCAGCAAGGTGTTTACCCCCAGCTACCCCGAGTGGTGTTCATGGCATACACGTATCATGTCGCCAAAGGGTAACCTCTCCAAGGAATTCATGCGGGTTTCCCTCTTCGAAAAGCCTAGGTCAGGAAGGGTGAATTCACCCTCCCAAGCCCTGAAACCTGCCCCGAGTGAGATTCATGGCATACGCTTATCATGTCGCCAAAGGGTATAAACCCCTATCGCATTCCTTTCTTGATTCCGTGAAATTGATGTGTTGGTTTCGTTCTACTGGGTTCTTTCATTTTCCAAAGCAAACCAGAAGGAGATCGACACCAGATTTGCCAATAAGAGGACTTAGGTGTTCGGCCAAGTTAGTGAGTTGTTGAGAACCCGGGTCAGAACTCACTCACAAGCCCCCTAAGCGGGGCTACCTGTGTCATTAGTGGCTTGGAACCCAAGTGACGATTGTCAATTACGAACTTGCCCAAAAAATCCGAACACCAAGTCAGATCCAAGATTCAGCAGAGCAGACTGCCGTTTTCCGCTCATTGATCGACCGTGGATGTCGTCACCCGGATCCGCGCGATAGGCACCGTGGAGCTGGGCGTGGTGTCCATTGGAGCCCTGTGGCTGCAAGGCGCGGCAAAGAGAAGATGTTGGCGCCCGGAGGTGAGAGCTGGGCCCGGCGTTGGGTTTGAATTTGTTTTCGGGGACTGGCTGCTATGAACTGGCTAAGAAGCGATTTTCCAGTGGCTGCTATCTGGAAGCAATTCATCTTGTACATAGTTGGGGAGGAACATTGGATCTGTTGATGTTGGCTGCTTTGTTTGTTGTTGGTTGCCTTTATTTTCTTGGAGGAATGCGTGTTTTCCAAGCAAGTTGGTCCCATTCTTTACTCCTCTCCGCCACTTTACCAGTTAATCCCCCACCAAAAAGGGTTGATCCCCTTATACAGTATACCCCGCTTGGTTCTCGCAGGCGACTCTGCGGGGAAGCACGTGGTGGTAGAGCACCCGCCCCCGAGCGACGACACAAGCTCCGACCCCTTCGGTCGCTTCCGGCAGCGCCCGCGGCCCTCGGCGCTGCGGTTGTTGCAGGCAAAATCCGCAGGGCTGGGCCGCCGATGTGTTGGGTGCGAAATGTCAACCCAGGATCAATCAGGGTGTCCTTGGTTTTAGGGGGGGGTTCATCATGTCTAGAGGAGCACACCCCCATATATGAATGGGCAGGTTTTTTTAAAATCCGGAATCCAAAGGTAATTCCGCAACATCCATCCCGCGGCTTCCCTCGGGAAACGGAGAGCCTGCTGGCCCACTTTAAAAGGGACACCAATCGGCGGTGGCTTGAATGAGCCCAGGCCTCAAGTGATTAGTGCCCTGGTTTTCCCATGCTGAAGGGGGGTTCAGTTCGAAATCAAGCAAAATAAATTCTCACTCCCTGAGTTCATGGACTTTACACTTTTTGGGCTTGGACCATTTTGGTGGTAAGCAAAAAGTTTGGACTTTTTTGGCCAATCAACTCAGGAAGCGAGGAAGCAAATAGGCTGCCGCGTTTTTTCTTTTTTCGCCAGGGAAACAAATCCACTGGACTTTGGTATGGACTCCAACCTTTCGGATGGAAAACATGGCAGCGGCAAGCAGCGAATCCACTTCCCCAGGGCTGGGCGCACCAAGCTCCAGCTCCGGCGAGCGCGAGCGAAGAGCCGAGCGCGCGCGAAGAAGCTCGTCGGGTGGAGTTGGGTGCGTCTCGAAATGGGAAGCCAAATGGGGTGGCACCTCAGGAGGGAAGAGGTTTCGATGTATAGCCAGGGGAGTTCTCAATAGGAGCTGTCTAAGCTTGGTGGCTCCCAGCCATCCGGTTCCTTAGCCTTTTAGTGTTTAGTGGGGGTTTCCAGTCAACCCACTAAAAGCTATGCACTTTTAGCAGGGGATCTGAGGGCAGCCCAGCAAAGTCAAAGGTTCCAAGACTCAAAGAGAGGTGTGTGGCACATTTTTGCACCACCGGGATATGGACCGCAAAGCATTTGTCCATGTTTCCACTTACCAGGGCAACCCAGTTTGGGGTTACCCAAATTTTGGCCCACAGCCAGATGCTTTTCCTTTGCCAAGAAGCTCCGCACACCCCAGTGCTGGAAGGGATTTTTCATGCTGCTACTCAGATCCCTTTTGCCAGTACGATGCAGGATGATTTTCCCAGCGGGGGGGTTCGTGTATTCAACAGAATCATGACGGGTTGCATCCCATGCCACGCCTGTACTGAGTTTCACCCAACTGAACCACCTGAATTGAAGACGTGGCTTGGCTGTGTGTCTGTTTGCTTGCCCCGTTGCCCCAAATTGGGCCTTATACAACCGCATCACAGGCATACCCCTTGACCCATTGCCACGAAAACCATGGGGCAACTCAGGAACGCGCGAGCGACGGAGAGGAGGCTTCGCCGGAGACTGGCACCGTGTTTGTGCACAACGCGGCCTCGCGCATGGTCACGGCCCCTGGGCTTTCTTGGCAGTCAAAAAGTCCCTCAAAAACGCTGAGTAGACATGGGTATGGGTCAAAATAAAACCACCAGTATGGACCCGGTTTAGTTTTTTGGTTTCATTTACCAGGGCAACCCATTTGGGATGTACCCGATTTTTGACCCACACCCAAATGAGAGTCGTTTATTAGAGGCTTTCCTTTTTGGGGTTGGCTTTCATTGGAACGCCAAGAATAATCAACCCATTTTAAGTTCCCTCATGTTGCTGGACATCAAAAGCTCACTGCCTGCGTTTATGCACTTTAGTCACTTTTTCGGAGGATCGGTTTCGTAGGTCGGTTTAGTAGTTTTTACAGAGCTCGATTTAGCACAGGCAGGAGGCCACACGCCTGCACTTCACGGCTTTTCCAGGAACAACCTGATACCAGTCACGTAACACGCACCCTCCAAATCATTTTTCTGCGTACTTCAACAAAATTTCCAACCTGCCCCAGTTGCCCAGTGGGTTGCTTCCTTTTTCCCTTTTTTTGGGGGAAGGGTTCCCCTTTAAAGTCAACCAGCCCAAAAAAAAGAAGAAGATTGGCCTTCCTTTTTCCCCATAAAAGTCCACTGGGCATCCCAGCTGCAAAAACGGGCGCCCTTTGTCCTTAAGATTTCGGGTCAGATGACTCGAAGATCACCGAGGTACGAGTTCTGGATCAGGGCCGGAAGCTCAGCTCCGAGAAAAAACGCAAAAGAGAAGCAGGGTTCCCGCGAGGTGTTTCTCCTTCTGGGTCTCCCAGTAGTGCCCTGTTATCCCTTTTGTTGGGGAGGGTTCCCCTACTAAAATAGACTACAGAAAAAGTTGGTACCCTTGTTTTAACCTCTCTACTCGAGGACCTAGCCTTGTGGTGGCTTGACACAGTCTCCTTTTGTCAGGTGACCCTTAGTTGGTGGTGGAAGGTGAGTTTGGGGAAACTGAACATGACAATGAGTTCCCTTTTTTGGTTTAGTGATGTCTCATAGGGGAAACATTTGGAGCCCTGAAGAACCAGATCAGGCTTTTCCACCGGGAGCTGAAAAGGGGGGGCTGGTGTCTGATTTGATGAGTTGGCTTACATTTGTTTGTGACCAAATCCCAAATACTTGACGTGCTGCCTCTCCAAGCCAACATTGTTGGTTGCATTTCAGTTGTGGGCCACAAGGCGAACACACCTACATGATATGGGTATGGGTCAACATTAAACCGGACCTCTCCTGAGGTCGGAACATCGCCCTCCGCGCGTACGAGAAGGTTCAGGAGCGGATTCTGCGTTAATATGAACCAGCTACAGGAGTTTCGGGTTTTCCGACAGGACGATTGCCACACACCCACTCAGAACCAGGATTCCAGTAAAATGTCCTCAAGGCAGTTTCTGCAAACAAAGGGAAAAGGAAGTGTGTGTGTGTGTGTGTGCGCGTGTGTGAGCATCAGGGGCTGCACCCAGGTCATTTATTTCCCTTGATCGAAAACATGGTTGGTCTGCCTGGCCCATGTTGGAACAGACCCATCTCTCAACTCGTGGCGCTACTCGCGCGGTTTTCTGGAGCGACGCCCATTCGTTTTATATCGAGGAGGCGCAAGAGATGTTGGACTGCCCCTTTCCTGGGGTTCTGGTGAGACCGAGCCATTGTAAGGCAATCTTTATAAATAGGGTGGGGTTCAATTTCGATCCCAAGAAAACCCGACAGGTGCTGTACAATAGCACAAGCAGCAACGAGTGCGCAAGGAAGAAGGGAAGTCGGGCATCACGGATTACGGTCGGCCACGTTGGACAAATGTTCTTGCCATACATCTTTTGGCCAAGCGTGGAAGTGCACATGCCTCTTTGGAAGACTAGTGTCTCGTGTTTTCTGGGGGAAGGGGCCTGTGCACCAAACCATGCTTAGAGGGAAGAACCTTGCTCAGCAGTTGCTGCTTTGGTCAGTTCCCTCTGGAACAGGGCACCTGAGAGTCAACCCCAAAACTGTACAGGCCCTCTTTCCAGAATACACATGTTCTTCCACAAGGGGCCTGTGCACTTGCTTAAACTCGTTTGGGAGGCAGGTCATGGTTTGGGATAATTGACGTTTAGAGCCACTTGTGATACCAAAAGGATTTCTATCGTCGCGGGGGTTCTCCACTTCGGCGCCGAAAACCATAGAGTAGGCACCCTGAACAGTAGGATCCCTGAAAGGATACATTTTGGCCTGAACAAAGGGCCCAAAAACCCACTGGGGTGCCTGTTGTAGGGAAACCCCTTTGGGTTGGTTTTAAGGGGGACCAAAGCACCAAAAAGACACCCAAGGCCAAGGTGTCGTTGGGGTTCCGTATTGTTGCTTTGCAGAGAGGGTTTTAGGGACCGCCAGTTTTGGGCTTCCCTCAATTTACTTTGGATTGGTGGTCTGGATTTGGATTTGGATTTCCTGGTTCCTGTAGAGGGATTTCCCAACCTCCACAGCTCCAAGCCAGCGATTCGGCTCCACGCCAGTCAGAAGCTTCCCATATCTTCCCATCCTTTAACTCCACAAATCAAGGAAGGACCCCATTCAGGAGATTAGTCTGCAAATGGATCTGTGTGTGTTTTCCCGGGTTTCCCCGTGAATCTGCAAGAGTGTAGTGTGCAGACCTAATGGTTTTAAGTGGGATTCCAGGGTGAACCTTCCAAGCATGGTTTCAAGTGCCCTCCCACCAATAAACCTGAAAGACAAGGGGTCCCTTGAAAAGGACAACGGCCCAAACCAGCAACCCCCCGAACTTCGTCTTCCATGAAAACAGGTCGGGAGGGAATTTACCTTTGTATCATCTTCCTACAAAAAAACTCCGTGTATATATTTGTCAGGTATTTCTAGCAGTCAGCTATATAGGACCCGTTCCTGCTCCAAATGTTCTACTCGGACTCGGTCTGACTCGAGCGCCAGGAAGCGCATCCCATGGTGCGCTTGGTCTCCAAGGCGGTGGCCAAAGGCTTCGGCGCCGTGGCCGGGAACTCCTGGACTGCCGCGCCGCGGAGAGAAAAGAAAGTCGAAGGCGGCGAATTCGAATTCGCGGGGCGTTCGGAGGTCCAGCGGCGGGCTTTTTTTTTGGGGGGGGTTTCTTCTTGTTGCTTTATTCTTCTTGATTGTTTGCTTTTCTTATTGTTTTGTTTGGTTTTCTTTATCTTTCTCTCTTTTTTTTTGGGGGGGGGGGGTTGTTGTTTTTTTTTGAACGCGGCAAGGGAGGTCGGGTGGTTGTTCATGTTCAACCGGTCAGGTTGGTTGGTTACCCGTAGGTTTTTGCCAGATGTGAGGGCAAAGGTGCAGATCCTTCTGACATTTCAAGCAGTTTCCTGCTAGTTTGGTGGTGTGGATTGCCCGCTTTGGATTTGGATTTGAAGCCCTGGTCCTTGTTGTAGAGGCTAAGTGGGAAACCACCAATTTGAGGGCAAACAATAACTTAAATTCCTTTTTGGCCGGTCCACTCAGGGCAGGAAATGAGACTGAGGTTGCTTCATTTGGGGGTACCCTTTGTGACCTCGGTTTTAAGAGGAAAAGGAAAGCCAGACAGATTTGTGAGGGCCTGTTTTGACACATACCCAACTTGGGCGGTCCTTGGCCACTTAGGTAAGCCCCAGACAAGGGTTGCAGTCTTGCGGAACGATGACAAAGAACAAATATACACTCTTGCTTGCACCTTTCCTTCCTCAAAGGGGGGGTTTAACCCAATTAACCACAGGAGACGTATCCCCTTTTCAAGTGTTCTTTGATTCTTTTGCACAAGAGGGCCCAACAATTCCCAGCCACTCATAGGTGCCCAATGTGAGGCATTCCCCATCATGTCCCCTACTGTGGGTGTTCAAATTTGACCACCAACTCTTTTTTGTCTGTGTGTGTGGGCACGCGTGTGCATGCGTGCGTGCTGCGTGCATGCGTGCGTGCGTGCGTGCGTGCGTGTGTGCGTGCGTGTGTGTGTGTGTGCACTGTGTGTTTTTGAGTTGTTGCCCGTGTTTTGCTGTTTTCAAGGGACCCCAACAGCAAAGCCACCCATTTTTGTCGGGCTCCAAAGAAAAACATACACCCTGTTCGTGTTGACGCAGGCACCCGAGCCTGGTTTCAATCGTGGCACCCGAGGATTCGATGCCCGGGGTAGCCATCGGGCCGGCGGACGCGGCGCTGCTGCCGCTGCCCATGCACCAGGAGAGCTTAAAGCCACGAGCAGAAACCAGGAAATGCGGACATGGGTGCGTCTGTTTTGAGTTTCTATCTCCTGGTTTTGATGGTTATAGGGGAAGAAATCTATACAGCGTGTTGTTGTTGTTGTTTTTTTGGGGGGGTACCCCCAAAAAAGTCACATCCACATCCCCGATACAGGACCTTCAGAATTAGTGAGGTTCCTGAAACAGAATATAAAGGCGAAACCACCGATTCGGCTCCAAACCACCAGTCACAGGACAAGCTGATTTCCGTTTGTGTTTTGTTCACGTGTTGTTTCATCATGTGGCAAAACGGCCGAATGGCCGTTTGGCTCAAGTTTAACCTCCCGTCAGGTTAGTTTTGGTAGCACGGCACTCGCCATAGCACGGCATCTCGCTGCGTCGCCGAGAATGGACTCTCGGCGCTGGGGTGGGCTGGTGCTAGGAGGTAGGTGGTGCTGCGGCAGGACTTGCCTGGGCCTGGTTAAGGTGATCTTTTGCAACTTGCTGTTTAACCTTCACTTCACCCACCTCTTCCTCAATCATCACGTCCTTCAACCTGGTCACCGGCTTCAGTCCACTGAGTCGTGAGTCCGGGTTCTTTGGGTTCTTCGTGGATTACGTGAACCCTTTTTGAGTCCCTGGGCAACGCCCTTTCCGCCCAAAACCGCAGGTTATCAGCCGTACCAGCTAGAAGCTGGGGCTGGTGATCCGGTTGCGGGACGTGACCCGCTACCTGCTCCCATCGCCTACTTGTACGAGCAATGGCGTCCCCCGGGGCTTCTCATCGTGGGCCGGGCTTCGTGGACGACGAGGCCAACGCCCTTCGCGGCAATGCCGCGCCTGCTGCTTCCGGCTTAGACAGCCGGCTGTGGCCCATCCCCCCGATGGTGGGCGCAGAGCCCAATCCCGGGGTGATCACGGACGATTGGATCCTTTCTCAGGCTGTGTTTGATGAGGATGCGGAGGCCCCTATCCCGGCGGCAGTGCTCCAGATCGAGGACGGACCCCCTCTAGAAGAGGCTGAGGTTCCTCCAAATCAGGTGCCCTCATCGATTTCGCCTACTGTTCCGTTCGTGGCGCTCCAGATCGAGGACCGGGCTATCCATCATGCTGCTCATCCGGAGCCGGCTCAATCATGGTCCCGTACATGGGATCAGTTTGACCAACTCCTCGGCAGTGGATCGCAGGCTACACCGCCTGATTTCGGTCGGCTCGACTTTAACTCGGGTGCCCCCGTTTCGGTTGGGAATCTGGATTTTCAATCCCTTTGTGATGCTGATTGGAGGTCTCAGCCTTCCCGAATTGACAGATCCTTTGATGTTTTGCCGTCGCATGAGCCTACTCAGGGTTTTCCTCATGATGGAGAAAATGACCCCATTGAAGATTTCTCCCCTTCTCATGTTGCAGGTTCGGCCCAACCCGAGGTGGGCAAACGGGCGATTGAGGATTGGCCGCAAATAGCTGGCCCTCCTCCCGTCTCAGGTTCATCCGACGTTGACATCATTCACGATCACCCCAGTCCGGCGGATATGGACTTCATCCCTGATGCAGTATCATCTCACCTGTCAGGTACCCGTGACCGGAATGCGGACCGCTACAACGCTGGTCCGAATCCACCGCTTTCCTCAGGTACCCGAGGTCGGGATGCGAACCGCTACAACGCGGGCTCAAATCCGCCAAATCGGACATCAGGTACTAATCGATCGGATGTGGGCCGCGAAACAGCAGGCCCAAATCCTTCCTCCTCTTCGTCAAGAAGCCATGCCGGTCTCTTCGCGGCGTTCAATCGGCGTCAGACTCGAAAAGAGTCCGCCCCCGACGTCATCGACCTCGAGGAGCAGTCCAGCCACCGTACCAGCGATGGATCCGAGCAGGATACACCTGGTATTGGCTCTACTCCATTTGACCTCCTCGACATCCCCTTCCATCAGCCACCCAGGAGAGGAAATGAAGATGATGAAACCATCCCTGGGATCCTTGATGTAATCGATGAGGCCGAGGTCACACCAGAGAGACGAACGACATCGCTCCCGCCGAGCCGCGTTGCCAAAGTACTTTCCCCTAAGCCACTCATTGGTGACGTTGCTCAACGGCTTGATCTCACTCAACCTGATCCAGATCAAGCTCAACTTCGCGGGTCGTCATCTTTTGATAACATGTCGGGACAAACCGGCACTGACTCACGAGCCACAAAGAGGAGCTCTGAGTCACCCGAGAGACGTGAAGCTGCTTTGCGATTGCGATCTAATCCCCCAGCTCATCACGATCCTATTGACGTTCCTATCCACTCTGCGGGGTCTGGGCTCAGCTCCAATGCCCCGATGTCTGAGAAGGAGACTGATGACGGGATTAACTCTACGCCCAGGAATCGGAGACCTGGACTTAGCACTGTTGCTCCTGGTCATGGAGGGCTTCCTTCAAATCAACCGGTCAACAACTCCCTCGTCCCCGCATTCTTTCAAATTGGAACTCCGGGCTGCACTCCCGACAGGGAAGAAAATAGGCGCGGAGATCATGACGCTGATAGTCGTCCTGCTCCGTCTGCTTCCACAAGTGGCGGCCATCCTGTTGCATCTGAGCTTCAACGACTGCTTCTCGCGATCCACAACGAGGTAAAGGGGTGCAAGGCCGAAATCCAGGGATGCAGAACTGAGATTCGTTCATGTAGGGATGATATCAACGCTTGCGTCGGTGAGATCAAGAAGATCAATAACCGTGTTGACGCCTTCGAGAAGAAGGTTGAATCATCTTTCTCTGCCGTTGCCGGAACTCTCTCAAAACACGAGGCCAAGTTCCGTGATTTCCACGAGTGGGTCGCCCGAAGCGAGAAGGAGATGAATGAGCGTTTCAAGATGTATGATGAGAGGTCTGACTCGATCGTCATATCCGCTGCTGAACTTCGCGAGCAGGCCGAATCACTTGAGAACGTCAAGGTCCAGCTCCTTAGGTTCTCTGAGATCGGGGCCCTTGAGGCTGAAGTTCGGAAAATCAAAGACGAAGTTGAGGCGAACTCTCGCAGTGTCATCGACATTGAGGGAACCATCTCAAGGGAAAGAACCATCCGTGGGAACGTCGAGACGTATATCCAGCATCTCGTTCCTGCGACCGACCTGAAGCAGTTCAGTGATAGGGTGTCCGGAGCCCTCAATGAGAACTCACAGAAACAGGAGGAGTTCAAGCTTCAATTGTCCCGTATTGCTAGATGCGTCAAGGACCTTCATGACAAAAGCTTAGGCCCCAATCCGAGGGACATGCAAGAGCAGTTTATGAAGCTTGTGCTGAGGGTCAATGAGATCAACATGCAGATCGCTGAGTTGAGGGAGCAACCTCTTGCTGCCTGCGGGCCTTCAAGTGCTGGCGCTGCTTCGACCGCCGGAACGGGACCATGGGAGAAATCTGGAGACACTGATCCCTTAACCCAGGGAAGGGCTCCTAGAGATTCTCCCTCTCGTGATGCTCGCACCGTCAGCTCGGCTAGGCCTCCTCCACCTCCACCTCCTTCAGGGCCACCCCCACCGTCACCATCAGCCCCCATCTTCGGCAGGGATCCCTCTAGAACGAGGGCCATTGCTCGGGCTGCCGGCGCTGCCCCTGATAACCGGGCCAGGTGTGATCATGAGGAGCCCGGGCATCCACAGCATCGGGAACCTCGCTATCCATGCCGAAGCTGCGGCAAGTCAGTCTGCGAAGACTGCTTTGACCATGATTGTAACTCGTGTTTCAAGTGCAGCGATCAGTTTCCTAGATGCCGCGCATGCAGAGGAAGAGGGGGGAGACACGGACTTGTGAGGTGTCTCATATGCAAGGACGAGTACTGCGATCAACACATCGCCTCACCTGACGATGTGCGCCGTTTTGGATCGAGTGTTCGACCTATTTGCCTCGGTTGTCTGAGAGCTGACCCCGACGGGAAAACTAAGCATCGCGGTCCCAGTGCGGGGCCTGGAGGACCTGATTGCATTCCTGATCATAATCAGCGGGATGGCACTGCTCCTGATCCTGGATCCGGGCCATCACGTGGAGATCCGTCACATCGGAGTCCTGAACCGCACCAAGGGAACTCTGGTTCCTGTTCCCACGCCGGAGCTGCCGGGCCAATGCCACCAAGGGCGATGTCTTCGCCCGTAGTCGGGCGAGCAGTTCCGAGGGGGACCATCAACACGTATCCCGGATGTTCCCCTACAGGGGGGATTTTCACCGGTCAGGTTGAGCATGGAACGTCTCAGGGAGTCATTCGCGGGAGGTACGGACCTGACGCTGCTGTGACAAATCAGCAGAATCCACAGCCTCACCACGGAGTACAGGATAACTCTGGCGGGCCGACTGGTTTCTCTCTTCCACCAGGACTCGGTAAGGGTGCGCATGGCGCCGGTGGCGTCGGCGGTATTGGAGCTCCCGATCTTCGCCGATCTTCCGCTGAGGAGAGGGTCTGCCCTCGGTGCAACATAAATGTCAAGACCAGCATCCCCGGGACACCTCCATGCTTCCAAACTTGTTCGTTGTGCCGCACTTCTCTATGCGCCGCGTGCTGCCCGCCATCGTCCGGGAGTTGCTCTCTGTGTGCCATATCCATTGGCAGAGACGGCGTTTTACCTCCCCATGTTTTTGGGCAGGCTACTCGACCTCCCTTAACTTCGTTGCCATCTGAGGCGAACAAGTGCGCCAACATAGAGCTCGAAAAAGAGCCCGCACCGCATGAGTTGCGAGACTGGATCATTTCCACGAGAGAAATCGTGAGCAACGCATTCAGCTATGACTCGCCATATGCCATGTCTTGGGTCATGAGTGTCGAGAACGCCAGCACAATAGAGGAACTTGATGGGGAGTGCCTCTACCCGATCCTTGACAATAAGTTCAATGCTGCACTGAGAAAATGCATCACATCGAAACCTATTGTTGCCAAGATCAGCAGGCTGACTGAAGAGGCTCAGGTGAAAAGGGGGACGAGGCTGAAAAGCCGCCAGATCCTGTTCTGTCTCATTGAATACCTTCGTCCCGATGAAGTCGGGAGCCAGTCTATCCGTACGAATGAACTTCTTCGCCTATCCCTCGGCAGAGCTGCCGGGTCTGGCGAGCCTCAGCTTGAGAAATTCCTTGATAAATGGGAAGGACTCCTGGGCGGAATCACCGCACCGATTGATCACCATGTTCTTCAGCATGTTTTCTTTGAGCAAGTTCGACACTCACCAT